TTTCATTCTTACTTACAATGTTTGATGTGTTTTTTTTAAGCTCTTTGGAGCGCAGAACGATTCTAATCTCTGTTATTTTTCTGATGTTTTGGTTTAGTTCAGATAATTGCAGTAGTCTTATTAGTTATTTCAATTAGCATGAAACACAAAATGATGCTTGGTGTTACCATTTTACTTCTGTAAGGCACTGTTTTCTTACTGTATGCAATGGTAACTTCAAAGTTTGCAATTTTGGACAGCACATTCAATTTTAGTGGTGCATGCAAAATCAAAATCAGGCCTATTGTCGTATGACTGTAGGTGATGGTCAAAAAAAGTTGATTTTAGTTCTTAGGTATGGTTAAAGTACTTTCTTTAGTTAGAACATTTCTTTTTTATGGACATCAACTTCCAAAACACTAGTGCTGACAAGCATGAAAATTACAGTAAAATATTATGCAAGTGAAGTGTTTATGCATACTTTTCTTTTTGCAGCATTTCCATTTGCTTGCATTTGTTTCTACGTTCTAATTTAACTACTTGATTTTTAATACATTTCAGTTGGTCAAGAAAGGCAGTACGCAAGCATATTAAAATGGAAGGCTTTACAGAGAGAATTTTCCCATTAAGAATTATCAACAAAATCCTTGAAAATGAATGAGCTGACAGTTATAATCGAAGCAGATGCATAAAGTACCATTATAGCACATTGTACCATCAGTTGTGTGTCATGTAATCTGCCAAATATTAAGTGTTCTGACCTTTGGTATTAATAGAGGTGGACACTGGGGACATGTGAAAGACAAATAATATACATATATAAATAATAAATACAATATATAAATAATACTTGGAAAATTTATTATAGATTTGATATTGATAAGAGTTAAGGAGCCTACTTGATATCCTGCCCTTCCGTTTCTAAACAATAATTTTGTGAAAAACTGGGCATACCATGTAGTGGAATCCCACATGACGGAAAACATATTGTGATAGAATAGGATGTCCCTATAAATAAATTATAGAGAAAGAGAACTTGTTAACTAGCTCTACTACTTTATTTATATTTGTCACTTTCCCCTACTGTTCATTAAATAATGTGAAAGAAGTGACATGAAGCAAGTTTGACTTTACCGCGTTCTCTATTCATTCTTGTGTTTTAAGTTGTTATTTTGCTCCATATCATCAGCTATCTTGTTGTAGAGGTTCATGGGGAGCACACTGCAACTGATTCGTATGAAAATCAGTGGAGCGTCTACATTTACCAGAAAGTATAGTTTGGGCCTAAAAGTTTTAGAATTGCTCTTATCAAAACACTTGTTAATGTTATGTTACTTTCTAGCAATAGAATAATTGTTATGTTTAATATTATTGTTTTTTTTTTTTTAACTTAAGATTACATTTGGGAATAACCAGCACAGTATGAGTAATTGCATATCCAAACCTTATTGCTTTCCAAACTTCACTAATTTGATCTCACATAAGATTGCTGAAAAAAGAGCTCTTCTGATTTGTAGTACATGTTTTTTCTTGTAATATTCTTTGTGCCTTATCATAGTTTCTGAAGTTTAAAGTCTTGATTTCTGTTTCATTTTGAGGTTTTTTTGTGCGTGTTCTACACTAAAAGCCTATACATAATTGAAGAGCAAAGAACTCGAAACAGAAAGTAGGGACAGAACCAGCATATTTTGTGACATTAATCAATATTTGGACAAAGCAGAAAATTTCTATTGACAGACAAAACTATTATACTTAGAAAAGTAGTTTTATTCACATCTTTAAAAACTAAGAACTCACTTTAAATAATCTTTAGCAATCTGATGTTTTTACTATACACAGGGGAGACACTTCTAATCAGCTAGAATTTGAGTTCACTGTTCATGTCAACGATAATGTTTGATTGTCATACAAAAAACAAATTGCTGTTATGTTCACTTAAACAGTTTGACACGGACGAGAATAATTTGCAGCAGTTCAAAAATGCATGCTTTTGATAGGCTTCCTGTGAATATATCAGGAAGAGCTCATTGATACGTATTTCAAGGTAATACTGGAAACATATACCAAAAACTAACCTAATTTCCTACTCTTTTCTCCTAATTCAGGGCATTGTATACAGTATTTAATATTCATATATGGCTTTCCTTCCTCCTTTCTTGCTAAAACTGAAGAGGTAAAAGAACGAAAGCCCTCCAGTGATTAAGTTGTTTTTCTACAGGGTATTCATAAATTTGATTCGAAGGCGGCTTTACAAGAAAATAGCTTGATTATGCTAAGCAGAAGATAATTCTGATGGAATAGTGATATTGCATTTAAAAAAAATAAATTTTTGCATTTGCTGCAGAAATTGTTTTCCTGTTGTGCTGTCTGAAAGGTACACTCGCGCTTGATTATGAAGTGCTATTAAATGAGCACTTCAGATTGCAGGCAGTCTTCTCTACCGTTTGCATAACACACAGCCCCCTGGAAAATCCATGAAGAAATACATTTGAAAACAATACTTTGTTAATTTAGAAGCTACTAATTTCTTCAGGATTTAAATTTTTATTCAAATATATTTTACGTGTATATGCTGAATTTGCTTTCCAGTTGGGAAAGACGTAACTTGATTTCCTGACTAAAGAGCATTTCATCAAAACATTTCTTTTTCTAACAAATGTAACCTCTTTTCTGAGCCCTACACTGGCTTCTTATAGCCTAAGTAATTTTGAGTTTCAGTACTTAATTTTCTGATGACCTTGGCCTGTACCTTCAGTGTCTGAATCAGCAAGAGCCACTGTATTGCTAACAGTGGGCTACACAGTCTTTTAGGAATTCATCAAAGGGTGGTATGTACCACCTCCCTTTCTCTTTCCATGCCACCCCTGGTATATGGTAGGGTGCAGCTATTACAAGCTCACTGTTACTAAACAGTTTCCGTCTCTTTGCCTTTTATGTAACGGACTGGCATCGAGCCTTGTGACAGGGCATACAAGCAGCCTGCGTCCGGTGACCTTGCGCGCGCGCGTGTTCCCGTCGCGTGGCAGGCACACAGCTGCTACGCGGTGCAGGGCACTGGCATTTGCGCTGCTTCACGTGCCTGCTTCCAGGTACCCGTGTGCTGCAGGGCCCTTGGGTAAGAGAGTGGGAAGGATAAGGCTGCCTGAGTGATTCAGATGGCCGCTCGCAGGCGCTCTTTTCACATCTGAAGAAAGATGAAAGCAAGGAGGCGGTGGCTGAGCTGGTTGGTTGTTCAGCTCAGGTCTTGTCTGAGGTCCTGCGTGGAGTCCTGCCCGGAGAGCAGCAGTGATGGAGAGTGAGGGGCTGCTCTGTGCTGGCAGCTGATTGAAGACAAGGTCCAAGGTATTACTTGCTGGATGGCTTGGGGCAGAGATGACCCCTCCTCGTGAGGCCAGAAAAGAGATGAAGTTCGGAGTGCACGTGTTTGAGGTCGATAGCTTGAATGTTAATAACTCCAAGGACAAAGTAGTCTGTCATTCACCACTGAGGTGAGACTGGCTTTTTAGTGAAAACATTGAATCCTTAAAATTTTGACACATAAAATGACTTTGAAATCTGCATTAGCTTTGGCTTCTGTAGTTACAGAAATGAATACTGTGAGTCTGCTCCACCTGAGACATTTCTCCTGGATTTGATACCTGATGAGAAAGTGGATGCTACACTGTGCATCTTTTTGTCCTTTTTCAGTTGTCTGTGAGATAAGTAGCAGTCTTGGCACAGATGAGCTAACTCAGGACTAGTTGTTATAGTCAAGTAATGCTCTTTTGAGGAAAACTAATTGGGTGCTGCTTCACTGATTGAGAGAATTTCTATTTCTGCTGATAATTTCTGTTGATAAATTCTGCTGGAATTTGATTAAGAATCTTGAATTTTAATTTCCGTAGCTTCATATCTCCTGTTTTAGGCGTATTTTTTACACTGTTACAGCCTTCTGTTTCCTGGACCATAGTAATAGTTTTGTAGTAGCATGTACAGAATCTACAACCAGTTGTTAGACACTTTTTGCAAAGTATACTTTTATATAGGGTGTCTCATACTGCCATCTAAGGGCTATAGAGGCTGAGAAGATGACTAAAGGTGCTTTATAATTTTTTTTTCTACTTACTACCCTTTTTTATATGCCTTTGAGAAGTCAGCAATTTATGGATGAGAGGGTGAGCAGGGATTCACAGGAGTCCTTTGGAGGATATGCTGTTTCCTTTAGGGATATAGAGGAATCTTCCAGCAATCCGGAGTAAATGAGAAATCAGAATTTAGTCTGAGTCATAGTTTTTTAGAAAAATACAGTTATAAGAAGTTTTGTGCAAAAGCCAACAAATAGGAAAGTATGATTACAAGATCTGAGACTACTCTTGAAACAGCTTGTTAACAAGTATCGTGCTTACAGACCTGAAGAATTTCAGTTGAAACTCCTACCAGTTTTGGAGTGTGTAGTTCAGATTCTTCAAGATACCAAAGTCCCTGAACTCCTGCTAATTTAAGGCTTAGTGCTCTATAATGAGAACTTGCTTATTAATATTTTCCGTAAAAAGGTACAAAATTGCATAATTCTTTTTTTCTAATTTTATTTTCACCATTTTGGACATCTATGTGCTTTTATTTTCCTAGACGTTGGGAAAATGGGCAAAAATTTGGTGTCAGCTTAAGTGTATATGATGCTAAGTAATATTTAAATACTTAGGGGTTGAAACATGCAAAAATTTATTACAAGAACTTTGTGTCCGGAAGAGAAATGCAATTAATTTTCAAAACCTGCACAACCGTACTTGTATAGGCTTAATTCTATAGCTCCTTTCTCTCACACATAATGTTTTGCACTACATCCTTGATAAAGAATCAAAGCATTTCAGTATTTGCCAGTATAGAAGTTTGTCATCACTAACTGAAAAATAGCAGTCTTTGTAATGACAGCCCCTTTGAGCAAGACTTTATTTCACAGTATACGACTTGCTTTTCAAGCTACTTTCCAGCAAACTTTGTGTAAGAGAAAAAGTAATTATCTTGCATGTAACTTTTAACAGGCTCATGCAAGCAAAGACCTGGAAGAGCAGCTGCGGTCCGTGTCCAGCGTGGATGAACTCATGACAGTGCTTTACCCAGAATACTGGAAAATGTTCAAATGTCAACTGAGGAAAGGAGGCTGGCAGCACAACAGGGAACACTCCAGGTTTGACACAAGATCAGATGATTCACTGAAATTTGCTGCCGCACACTATAATGCAGAGATCCTGAAAAGTAAGTACAAGAAAAGTATGTTCTAACACACAGTAAATTAAAATCCAAAGACTTGTCAATTGTGTCAAGAATATTTTAATAGTTACGCATTGTCAGTATACCTCACTCAAAAGTTTGATTTGATATAATGGCTATAATATAAAATTCTTGACTATGAAACTTCCCTAATGAAATAAGTAGTTCCACATAGCTATTTTTGATACTTTCATTATAAGAAAGGGATATACTGCTTTCTCAGCACAGTAGTCATAGGAAATTAAGTGCTTGTCTTCAGGTACAAGAAATCCTTCGGCTTTGTAGAGGCTGTAAAGATTTTGCACAAAGCAAGAGGGCACTAATAATTGGATGCAGAAAGTGAACCAATTCTGTTATTTTTCTGCAATTAAGTCAAGGCTGGTAAAACTTTCTTCTATTATGTATTCCTGCTTTAAGAGGCCAAGTAATGCACTTGTAACTTTTTCCTGTTGTCCTGTTATGCTCAAACGAGATTAAAAAAAAAAAAACCCTTCGAACAAATATGTCACTATCCCTTAGTGTTTCAGGTGGCCTGAACAAAATTATAGTTTACAGCTGAACAACTGCTTGCAGGCAGAGCACCACAGAATTTATAGCGAGAGGCATATTTTTCAACATCATTTTTGAAATCATGTACCTTAACGCAGACTTTAAGGTATACCTTAGGTGGAATTTGTATTCTCACTGAGTTGCCTATCAAAAACTGGTTCTGAGACAGAATACAGGGGCTGTACAGCTACAAGTCTCATGGCTGTTTAGTGTAAGATTGCATTTGGCAAAAGGCTGTGTAACACTATGAAAAATGTTTGCTCAAATTTGCATGAGTAATCTGGGCATAAATATCACCTTTAAGATTGAGTAATATGGCGTGCATAATTCCTAAGTAATAGCTTACTAGTAATAGTTTTTGCTTTAAATTACGCATTTTGTAGTTAAAGTAAATAGGCATTTAAGTTCATTTCAGATTAATTGTATAGGCATCAAATTTATTGTTTGTAATGTATAGTATGATCCATATGAATACTGTGTAGAGCCAGTTTACATTCATTTGCAGAGATGTGCAGCAGTTCTCTAGACTTTGCTCAAGGTGAGATTCACCCCAAGCAAAAAAGAAAGGAAGCGAACAGCTTCAGCTGTGGATGCTGAAGATCTACCCAACCTTATTTAGTTTGCTGTTAGCTCGGGTTTACCTTTCCTCCACATGACTGTACTTTTCCTCCACAGCAATGTGGCATATCCCTGTGAAGAGAAATTAGCTAGAAGTTACCCTAGAAGGATGTGTATTTCACTGAATAAAGGGTATGACCCTGTAGATACATATTCTGGTTCTAAACTTAAAAAGAAAAATCCTACTAATTGACTGCAGGAGTATTATTTTTAAACAGCTGCTTTATAACACATAAACCTCCATATAACTTGGCAGGTATTGATACTGAATGGAGAAAAACTCAGTGCATGCCACGTGAAGTTTGCGTGGATGTGGGAAAAGAGTTTGGAGCAACTACAAACACCTTCTTTAAACCCCCATGTGTATCCATCTACAGATGTGGAGGTTGCTGCAATAGTGAAGGACTCCAGTGTATGAATATCAGCACAAATTACATCAGCAAAACAGTAAGTTCTCATTCTTTTTACAAGCCAAGTGGTCCTTACAAATGTGTATTTGATCATGCATATTTTAAACCTAATTATTGCTACTATGGGGAAGGAAAAAAATCAATTCTGGAATACATAGAAAAAGCAGCTGAAGAGACTACCACCCAGAAAAAAATATTTAGCACTCTCCTCCACCAATATTGTTATGCTGTTTCAAAAAAATAGATTATGATGTCCAGTTCTCAGTTTTGAGATTATTCATGAAACTTAATTCTATCCTCTTTTTGCATCTACCATCTGCCTGCTGTATGAGGCAAGCATTCTCTGGAAAAATAGTCTGTAATTTTGTAAGTGAAGACTGTGTTATAATAAACATATGCATACCATGCATCTATGCATAGCCATAGATGTAGCATTTCCTTACTTTTAGGAACTCAGCTTTAAGATTTTTAGAGATATTAGTGCAATATAGTTTTTTTAGAGTTTATTTTTCTTAATGTAACTTCCCCAGATGCGTGTGCTTTTTTCATTCTTCTGGTTCAGGCATAGTGATGGGGTAAGGGGTGTGCAAAGATGATGCACTGAGCATGTCAGCCATCTTTAAAAGAAAACCATAAATACGGTACTCTATTTTATGTAGCTGTAGCAATTACCATATCATCTTAGAACATCTCCTCTCTCAAATATTAAGTAAAAATAGTCTTACTTTTCATACTGTTTGCTAGGCTACTTTTGTTTTATCTAAATATTGGTAGGCTGTTTGTTGGTAAAGGAGTGTTTTTGCTTTTTACCTCTTTTTTCTGATGCTTTGAAGTGTACTAATTTTTAGTGTAAACCTTTGCTTCCTTTTTCAAGTAGATTTTTCTTGGTAAAATGCAATATATCTTCATAATGAAGGCTCACAACTCCATAACCAACTGTAAGATGTTTACCTAAAAATGTCATCCCCTTATGAAACTTCCTAGTGCTCTGAATTTTCGTGAGAAGGGATTAGGAAAAGAGAAAGTATGATCAGAACAGAAGAAAATAATTTTTTTTATACATCTTACCTCTGGCCCATTTCTCACCCAACCTGTCCATGGGAAATGGTAACTTCTACCAAGAGTATCCAGTCTTGAATGTGAGCTAGTACTAGACAGCCCTGCAGCACAGGGATAAGGCAACTTAAATAGCTTGAACAAGGAAAACTGCAACACTGATTTTTTTTTTTCCAAAACAATAGCAACTAGCAGCTGGGACTTTTTTTAATATATACAATATAAATATAAATATATATATTTATTTATTTATAAAGTTTAGCTAACCTGAATAAAAGATGATCTAGTTACAGAGACAGTGGTTGCACGTAGCACAGATTTCCTGTTCTGTGAGCGCAATGTCAGTTAAGGTTAAATAATCCCTATGTACTCCTGTCTGTGGAGCAAAGGCCTATTAGAAAATCCGTATCCTAGTAGTGATTTTTTGTTGCTTGCTTACTTTCTTAATGTTATTGGTGAAGATAATCATGTCTTCACCAAAGTACTAGGAGTAGTTAAAGATTTGAGAGACTGTGAAGAGGAAAATATTAAAGGGCTCATCAGAAAGAAAGAAGAGGCAACAGCATTATTTTGGTTCCTATTCAGCAAAAGCAGCATTTTATCTCTGAATTTTCTATCTTGCTTCTGCTCTCCAGTTTTATTTGGTCCTTGGTAGAAGACAATTTTAAAAATACCTTTTTAAAGGAAGAGAGCTTAGTCTAGCTATATCTTTTCACCTGTCACCTCAAATCCTCTTAAAGTTATGTGACTACAGCTTATCCTATATCAAATGAGCATCAGGAAGAAAAAAATACTGGATGCAAGACCCTTCTGTGGAGTATATATATCCTACACATTTACTCTAATTACTGTTTTCCTTTTATTTCCTGAATGAAATGAGAACAAATGACTAGTAACCAGGCATCTTTTGTTTTTGCATAAGCCGCCATAGTTTTAGCTTTATTTTTGTTGCACTAATTCCATAAGATAGCTTATATAAACTTAATTCTTTTTGCCCCACAGAAAAGGTGCTTCACAGGAAATGAATTTCAGAGCTGGTCTTACTATAAGGGCAAACTCTGGCATTGTTTCCAGACATTAAAATCTAAGGAAAGTTGATCTCAACTTTTATCAGAATTAATTTAAAATCTCACTGGAAAAAAGCTAAGCATAGAAATTATTTTTATGAGGAACGAATCATTGATTGTCAGGAGAATGGACTAGATCAGATGTTCCCAGGTTGGTTTGTGGAACACTCTGGTGGTCCACAAATAGGTCAACAGTTCTCTGGTGCTGGCTGTTCTCCTCCTTTCTAACTACTTAATTTTATTAAAAGAAAAATAGAAAAGTATTCCACTTTTTGATTTTAGTACTGTTTGTCCACAAAAACTATGTCCGTAGTCGCTAAGGGGTGTTTATACAATCACGGTTGGGAAATGAGACAGTTTCTTCATTAAGATACAACACAAGATCTATGAAAATGAAAACCCCAAGGCTAATTCATAAAATGCAGTAGGTCTTTTCCTTCTCCTTTATCCATGACACTTATATTTCAGGTTTGTAATTTATTTATCTAATAAAAGTCTGTGGGGGAGCCGACTGTGATTTTATTTTATTTTTTATTGTTATTAATCAAATATCAATTCTCTGTTTCCGTGGCATATGAATGGTGCAACAACAGTTACATAGACTTGAACTAACTGGTGCAGCCACCGCCTAACCCTTAGCTGTGCGTTGTGTACATCCCACCTATAAGTTCTTGCTTATAGGGGGAAGGGAAGCAGGGAGATGTCAAAGAGCCGTCTCTTTCCATTCTTTCTCTGCTGGCAGGATGGACAGTTTTTTGGCTCCTTTCAGATTATTTGATGTAAAAAAGGTCCTAAATCTTCTTGCTTCATGATTAGAGTAATAGTCTCTCAAGGGAAAACATCCTTCCAAACAGTTTGAAATTAGATTTAGAGGAGTTTTTCTCACAGGAAACAAGCTAGCAGCTTGAAATTGTTTGCCATATTTGAGATATACATGATGTTCCATTATACAATTTGGAGATACACGTATCACAGGAATTTTCAGTCATTTTGAACTTTACCATTTATGTCTTTTCCCACGCATTTTTCTGTGTTCGACTGATGAATGTAATGATATAGTAAGTGCTATTATTAGTGGGAGATAAATCAATATAAATTCCAACGGTTTTCTGTTAAAATTTCTGAAAAAAAAAATAAAGTGGTTCAAATATAAAAAGTAGAATAAGGGACCCTAGCATGTTAAACAGATATGAACTGTATTATCTCAGATGGGTTATCTGTTGTCATTTCATACATAAGCCATGAAATCCTTACGTTTTTTCAAAAAAGCTTGATATGATCTCCAGTTAATCTAGGCAACAGAAAAATACTGATAATATACCATTTTTCAGATAGCTTATTTTCATTCTTTCCAGTAGAGAGATGTTTAGAGTTTTGAAATCAAGCAGTCTTATATCCTTAGCTTGAAAATCTCTCTAGACACATTCTGCACTGTTAGGCTGGTTATATGTGGCCTGCCTTACTGACACTTTAGGAAGTGCAAAGATCACAAGTCATGGAAACTGAGAGTCAATCAATTTAAGGGAAAGCTGCCAAAACAAACTGCAGTCCATCAGAAAAACGTTAAGTGTAGTTAATGCAAATCTGGGGGAAAAAATCATACATAAATCTTATATCATGAAAATATCGCAAATGATAAGCTTCCCTCATTCTAAAAGGAAAATTAGAGTGTTGATTCATTTATATTTCAGAATTCACTGATCAGAATGGTAATTTCATATGTGCCAGTATCCAGTGTATCAGCAAGCATAATTTTAGTGATGACTAAATTAATGTAGCCAGTGAAATTAAGAAATATTTTGTATATTAATCAGCAGTTTACCTGAGATACTATACTGTAGAAATATAACTAAGGAAGTATCACATTGCCTCCTGTAAGTCTAAAGAAAATTATCAGTACTGTGAATCAAAAATATATGCCTTAAAAAGATCAGTGAGGGGCAATATACTGGAATTTATAATGGATAGGCATTCTGATGGCTTTTTTGGTCAGGCTTTGGGAGATTCCTGCCAGTGTTAGATTTTATTAGGTTGAAATCATGTTGAGCTCTAGGTTGTGGACCAGACTCTGGTCCCACCCTTGTTTCTGTTCTCCACTCCAGCTCTGTAACTGGCTAAAGGAAGAATTCTGCCAGTGCGGGAACTGAAAAGAGCCTGCTACATGGCGATCTGCCGTACCACGCAGCTCTGGCCTGGAAGCTCTTTCAAGGATAACTGAAGAAAGAACAAGGTTAGGAAGCAGAGGGGTTGTTGCACTCGGCTTCAGTCATTGCAGGTTGCAGACTGTCAAAGGCCAAGTCTGCTGGGATAGAACAATTCAGAGCCACCCTTGCCCTGCCTCCTCCTGCTGTGCCTCTCACTCAAGCACAGCACAGAGCCTCCTCTGATTTCCAAGGATTTAAAAAACTTTGCATCTAAAGAATGAAAATTCAGAAAAAAAATCTGCTTGTAATTAAATACACGATTCTAGCAGCAATCTAGTCATATTCTTACCTTTTGTATTAATCAAAAAGTTATTTAATTCTATACCTACAGCACCTGATAATAAGGGGTTATTGGTTATATGCAGTCAATTCTAGAATCATTCTGCGAGAAATTATAACAACAATATTTAGCTCTTCTATAGAATATTTTCGCTAGCAAATCTCAACTACCAATGTTATGTCCATTTTACAGATGAGGTAAGGAGGAATAGGTTGCCCTAGATTACAGTGAACACTATCAGAGTCTGGAATTCAGTATTCTGTCCGTGAGGCACCACTGCTGTGATAGCTTTAAAAGATACAGTAATTAAAAAAAAAAAACCTTAAAATATTTTTTTTAATTGTATTAGATTTATGATTTATTGTGGGCAAAACTCTATACCATCCGTGAACCCTATAGAGGGTAAAAATCCTCAAGTATATAATGAAGC